AAGTGGACTCAATTTGCACTATTTCTGGCAGTCTGCAACCCCGCCCCCAGATGGTGACAGGTCTGGAACCCCAGCCCTATGAGGAACAACTTAGGGAGCTGGGGATGTTTAGACTGGAGAAGGAAAGATTGAGAGGTGACATGATAGGCATATTTAAATAGTTGAAGGTTATCATGTAGAAGATGGAGCACACTTGTTTTCTGCTGCACCAGAGGCTAGAATACAAACCAATGGATTCAAGCTGTAAGAAAAGAGATTCTACCAAAACATCAGGAAGAATGACTTGACAGACGCTGCTGTCACACTGCAGAATTAATGCAGTGGACTTTGAAGTTTATTGTGACACCAAAGCTCTCTGACAGAGAAGACTAAATAATCTCACAAAACTACAAATCCCAAAATTCCATAGCACTGAGCCATGGCAGTTAAAGTGGTGTCAAACTGCATTAATTCTGTGGTGTAGATGCAGCCTATGAGAACTGTTCAAGCATGGAATAGACTTCCTTGGGAGGTGGACTTTAAACAGAGTTTCGATGGTCATCTTCAGGAGTACTTTAATTGTGTATTCTTACATGGTAATATCTTCAATTAGATGGCCCTTGAGGTCCCTTCCATGATCCTATGGACTGTAGCTATGTTGGTTTGGGGATTCTGGTAAGCATACTCTCAATAGCAACTTTCCCAGGCTCTGGAAATAGTTTGTCACAGTGAGAAGTCTGCTGCAGCTGCAGACTTAGCATGTAGTGCCACATGATAGAAACTAATGGAAAGCAAATCTCATACTTCTGTGTACCCAGTTAGAAATTTGCCTTGGCAAATTATGTCCCCCTGCATTCATAAAAGAGTTCAGTTTATTTAGAGCCCAATATGCTCCCACGGACATTGTGTGCAGTACAGGATAAAAACATTTTGTTCCATTTCTGTGCCACAGAGCCCCATCCTATCACCTTCACAGCTGATCTCTCCAGGCCTGATGATTTGCCTTTCTGGTCCTGATGATGGCAGCAGTACTAGAGTAGAAGTCCCTTCACTACCATTTTTGGGAAGTCAAATTTTCAGGGCAACAGATGTCTATACAAAGAACTCAGGCAGTCTGTGAACATTACATTTCCCATTGTTCCTGGTGCTGGGAATCTGCTGTGATTAGGCTTAACAAACTGGGATAGGAGGTCTTCAGAAAGACTTCCATGTTGTGGTAGCTAGTTATGAGGCTACATATGTGTGGACTCAGGAAGTGAATTTAATCACTTCCCAAAACAAATTGGTGGGTTTATATAACTAGTGAAAGCTAAGCTTTTAGGAAATCTCTCAGGTTTGTATGTCATATCAAGAAACATAAGTGACCATTCTAGCACATCTGTTGTGTCCTTTAGGTTTTCCAGCTTATGGCGACCCTAAGGTGAACCTCTCATGGGGTTTTCTTGGCAGGATTTGTTCAGAGCGAGTTTGCCTTTGTCTTCTTGTGAGGCTAAGATAGTGTGACTTTCCCAAGGTCACCAGTGGGTTTTCATGGCTGAGCAGGCAGTCAAACCCTGGCTCCAGAATCATAGTCCAACACTCAAACCACTACACCATAATGGATCTTAGTATCCAATAAGGAGACCCATTTTCAAGAGATTCTAGAGATAGTTTGAAGCCATTTCTCCAGGATAACCTTCAAACATTTGGCTGTGTTGTAGCCATGATTTCCCACACAGAACATTGCGCATCTCTGCAAAGCATGCTGGGATGGATATCATGTTGTCATAGGTTTACAGAACCTTCCTTGTAAAACTATCAGATAAATACCAATGAAAATCAAGGAAGAGCCTATGTTTCAATGACAGATCATGAACAGAATGTGCTAGTTTCAGTCCTGGTACCTCAGGTTAAAAGAATCATATTGCAGGTGATCAGAAAGATGAAGTCTGGATTTCTGCCCACCAATTAAAGAAATAAAACTGGGGTAGATGGGCAAATAATCTGAGCTAATATAAATTTTCTTCTTTCTATGTACTCCTATCAGGAAAGGACTGAAGAATGCCAGGTCAGCTGGACCTGCAGCTTACCCTAATTTAGTCAGCCTGGTGCCATGTTTACAGGTGAACTATTTATAGTTTCAGAAAATATATCTGTGACCTTCACATTTATAGCCAGCTGGGATGATTAGCTGCCTGGGATGAACTTTCAGGTAGGAACTGAAATAGATTTTTTGTTGTAAAGACCAGGTTAGAGGGATGTATCAATGCATACACCACACACTGTCATCTGAGTAGAAAGTAAAGATACTGAAGCTAAAGGTTTAGACATGAGAGACACAAAAGTTATAGGCCTTTACTTTCATCAGCCTAATTTCCCTTCCCTCCCATATATCTTGAGTTCCCTATAGTGGCATCACTTTGGTTGGTGTCACCTGGTGCAGGTACCCAGATAGAGCTGCAGGGGGCAGTGGCAGCAGACTGCCCCATCCTCAATCCCTCTAACTTGCTCACCTGCCCCACAGCCAGGTGCCTGCCAGCCAGCCAGACCACTGGCATGGGACAATGGTGCAGCACCCAGATGGCCAATTTAGGGTCTGGTGCAGTTGTTGGGTGAGGAAGAAAGAGAGGTGATGCCCTTTTTTCACTTGCCCAGCAGCTGGGGTGTCACCTGGTCTGATCCACACTCCCTGTACTTCCTAGCGACACCCTTGGTTCCCAGCAAATGACC